CCCTTGGATACCGAGTAATGTCCCGGGCTGGTGCTATGTAGCCCAATTAGTGACAATCATGGCAGCTATAGACCAAAAGGAACACCAGGTAAAAGCCAGTACATACCCAAAATACCAACTAACTCTGAGACAGAGAAGGGAAACCAAACAAGAAAAGGTAGATCTATTCTCTACAGGCGATAAGGTTTGGTCATGGTTCCCTACTTACACGGGATGGGGAATAACACTCATGAACAAAATAAATAATTACACAAACATTATTGATGATATACTGGAGAGGAAACTCTAAGGACATGGGGTTGCTAAATACTGAGACCAGAGCTATTAGAAAACAGCTGGAGATGCAAGAATTAGCTATTGAAAGTATGAGTGCTGCTCTGACAGCTCTGTGTGAGATGACAGAGGATTATGAATGTTGTACTTGGATATATAATACCACAATGACTGTTCCAGATTATTATGAAATAATAAAGCAACACAGGGAACAGGTAGATGGTTTGATGGAAGAAGCTAGAGCTATAGGAAAAGATGGATGAACTCCTTTTGATTGGTTAGGATCAGGATTTGGTTCCGTCTTTTCATGGATGAAAGGTATCGCTGTAAGCATAGTCATGATATTGTTTTTTGTTTTATTTTTATATCTATGTTTTAAATGCTCATTATATTGCATTGCTAGAGCTACCAAGCCGCAAAATACAAAAATGAAGGTTATCTGGCTATGCAAAAAATTGAGATCATGTTCATGATCTCAGAGGGGATTGAAAGGATCTAGATAACCTCCATGTTGTTATATGTACGCCATTTTAAGTATTAAGTTAGCTTTTTGCAGATATATTAGAAGTTTAATGAAACTGTTTTTAGTTGTTCAAGGATGTATCAACAGAAGCTAACATGACCCTGACAATGTCTTTATCTGGTTGTTTCTCAGAAAGTTAGCCAAAACAATTTGTACCAAGAAATGTATATGTTATGTTTCATGTAGTCAGCTCATGATGGAAATTTACAAGTTACAGTTTTGAAACTCTCTCGCTCCCCCCCCCCTTATTATTATCTGTAGTCTATAAAATCTTACTAATGTCTAATAAACTTTGAACATCTCTGAACATGAGCTGCCGTTATTTCCGTGTTCAAGGGGTGTTCCCAGAATTCTGCTGATAAACCAGGAATCTCTCCACAGACCGGGGTCTCTGAGGGGATAAGAAAATCATCCTTTCAGGGTCCAGCAAAGAAATATCCCAATCCAGGCAAAGAGGGAGCCCAGTCCAAGAAGGGACATCCCCATCCAGCAAAGAGACATCCCTGTCCAGCAACAAAACATCCCATCTTTGCTATATGGGGATGTCTCTTTCTTTGCTGGACTGGGCTGTCTCTTTCCCAGTTGGGTCCGGCAAAGAGACATCCCAATCCAGCAAAGAGACAGTCTATCAAAAATCACCCATCACACAGTTAACCCTTTGATTGCCCCAAAATGTTAACCCCTTCCTGTCCAGTGTCATTAGTACAGTGTCAGAGTTTTTTTTTTTTTTTAGCACTGATCACTGTATTGGTGTCAATGGGGATGTCAGTGACACCAAGTTATTTGGAGTGTTAGAATGTGCACTGCAGTACCGCTATATGCGGCTATTCGCCAAAATAACATTATTATTAAATCAAAAAACAAAAAAATTCAAGTATCTATACCACTATTTCTAATCACTATAACTTTCACATAAACCAATGTATTGGGATTTTTTTAGCAAAGACATGGAGCAAAACACATTTTGGCCTAAAACTTATGACAAAATTTGATGTTGTTTTTTTTTTTTTTTTACTGGACTTCTTCTACGCTGCCCTATAGTAGAAATACCTCGTAAATCACCTTAATCAAAAATTTGCAGATGTCAATACTCCCCATCAAAACATCTGCGTTGATGAGTCCCTCATTAATTTTTCTGGCCAACTTCCATTCAAACAATTTCTCCCCAGCAAAACCAACTGTCCACCTGTAAGCCAATACAGTGAATTCTCTGCAAACAAAACCCAAAAATATTCAATAAACATCTATTAAATCAAAATTATAGGTTTGCAAACACATCACACCAACTCATACAATAGTGTCATCCAATATATAGATTGTGCTGCGCTCCTCTATTATTATCATCAAAGACACGTTGATTACGAGTAAAAAAATAAACTAAAAATAAAATCTAATACTAATAAAATAAATATACTATCTGAAGGAAACGTCTATAACTGTCATTGGCTCAACTTTCTAATTGCTTCATTCAAATCTCCCGCCGGAATTATATGTGACGTCACAGACAATCCGCCCTCTTACCGCCAAATCCGATACGTAGAACCGACCGCATCCATTTACCGTTTTATCTGGGAAGATCGATCAACCCTTCCATTCATTCCAAGCTCTGCGATCAGCCAAACATCATTATAAGGACATTGCAAATATTCATATAAAGAACGTTTATTAAGATTTATGTTTTCCCTCCAAATCCCTCAGAATACAAAACCCGACAAGATCTAGTTATTAGTCTGTTGATTTAGTTGTAGAGAAGAGATCAATGAAAAGTCTACAGAACAAGAAAACACTTCCTGCACTAGAAACATCGACACCGAGATCTCCGGATACATTTCTATGGACTTCTCGTAAGACAAACATTACTGGCTGATGGAGACAACGCCCACAGCTGTGATTGGCTCAGATTTCAAAATCGCTGTCATCACATTCTGCCCGCCGGAATTGTGTAGATCGTTCCAGACAAATATTCCGCCCAATTATACCGCCAAATCCGACCTGAGAACTGATCAGATGAGACATTTATCCGAGAAGTATTATCATCGCTTTCATCCCAAGTAGATGTATTGATGAGTCTGGAGATGGATTTCCATATTTACCGAATCATGTAACACATTGTGAATACAGATCCCCCCTCCCCCATATCACATCTAGAATATTCATAAAAAACAAATGTGAAATGACTGGTAGAAATAAGGAGACTGCCAGAGAAATACGGACAATGTATCCAGAGAGAACATATGACATGTCTGAGGAACCAAATCGGTTTCCTCCTCCAAATCAGTCACTAAAAATCATCCAAATGTTTACAAGGGTCTAAATCAATGAAATTCTCTGCAGAGGAATGAATCACTGTGACTCCGCCCCTTTCCAACAGTCTCCCTTTCAGGTCCGCTCGGAATGATAACCAGGAACGTGGGGCATCGGTATAAATGTTTGTGTTGTGTTTATTTCCAAGTCATATTTATCAATATTAAATTGCTGCTAATAATAGTAACTGCTGATGATGGTTTGTGTTCTGAAATGTGAAAGATGAATGTTTCTGTGTAATCTCCGAGGAAGAAATAGAAAACCATTGAGAAGAATGAAGAGATTTCTCTCCTGGAGATGGATTTCTATTGTCATGAAGGGATCTGAAAAGGGCGGAACGTGGAGAAAGTTCCAAATGAATCCAATTGTATTGTGTGTAAAGAATGGGTGTGACTCCGCCTCTTCCCAGAAGGTTCCCATCAGGTCCGCTCAGGCTGTATAAAAGGAAGGCGGGCCCAGCCCAGAGCTCAATCGTCGGTGTTTGCAGCAGAGAAGATGTAGTCGTCATGTCCTGGTCGCGGTAAAGGAGGGAAGGGTCTGGGGAAAGGCGGGCCAAGCGCCACAGGAAGGTGCTCCGGGACAACATCCAGGGCATCACCAAACCCGCCATCCGACGTTTGGCCCGCAGAGGGGGAGTCAAGCGCATCTCCGGCCTCATCTATGAGGAGACCCGCGGAGTGCTGAAAGTCTTCCTGGAGAATGTCATCCGCGATGCCGTCACCTACACGAGCACGCAAGAGGAAGACCGTCACCGCCATGGATGTCGTCTATGCTCTCAAACGGCAGGGACGCACTCTCTCTACGGATTCGGGGGATAAAATCCTCATAACCCCCCCCCCTCCCCTTTCATCGTTACAAAGGCCCTTCTCAGGGCCGCCATCTTCTCATACAAAGGGCTATTAATAGAAACATCGAGATCATCAATCTCTCGGGGAATATTTAGAAACTCAAACATTCTTTTCATTGTACATATTTATTTGGCAGTGTTATGTTATTTCTACCAATCATTTCGTCAATATTCTAGATGTGAGATCTGTAACACAGCTGCAAGTCTTTAATAGATCTGATATTGAAAGGATTCAGTAACCAGAATCCAGTTGTAGACTTTCTTTTCCAAGCAGATTTATCGATTAGTCAGGGAAGTGGTGTTTGTTGATCGCGATAAATGTCTCATCTGATGATCTCCTTTGTTTTTCCGGCTCGGATTTGGCGGTATAATCGGCGCGGAATATTTCTCTGGAACGATCTACACAATTCTGGCGCCAGAAATTTGAAATCTGAGCCAATCACAAGCTGTGGGCGTTGTCTCCATCAGCCAGTAATGCATTTATGGGTAAAAAAAATAAACTGCAACAAAATCAGTAAACTGAGAACTCCATCTTGTCGGGTTTTCAGTACAATAAAACATTTCACATGAATATCTGCAATGCTCGGAATGAATGGAAGGATTGAATCGATCTTCTCGGATATATAAACTGTCAATGGATGCAGATTGTCTGTAACGGTCCATAGAACTCCGGCGGGAAAGTGGAATTTATGAGCCATTGAAGCAATGACCGTTTAATCATATAGAGACAGAAAAAAAAAAAGGTTTGGGAGTAAATTTTCTGATCAGGATTGATAAACGATTTTAGGAAAATTCTTTTAGAATTCGGATGTGTAAAACCGGTTATCAGCTACAAATAACCCGCCCAATCCCGGGGCCCGAGAGATCACTTTCTCCGCCCAGAACGTTCAACATAGAAATCCTTCCCGGCGTCCAAACCTCTTCCTATGGGCTAGAAGCAGAGATGACACCCGGATGTAGAGGAGACCTTACTGTCCGGACGGCGGGAAGATTTCCACCTTTTCGAATTGTCATTACAAACACGTGACAGCTTCCATCCCAGAACGTCCTTTACTATACGAGATCTACAGAGCAGGACGGAGGGAAGAAGTCGCCGACTTTCCTCCTCCACCCCCCCCCGAGAATCCCATAGAAGCGGGAGATAGAGAGGAGTGTGGGATTGGTGTCCATAGAAGCCGTATGTCCGCCCTTTGTATGGAGATGTGGGGGGCTCTGAGAAGAGCCGTTGTGTTGGCGGATAGAAGGGAATCCTGTGGGGGGATTACTTGCTCTTGGCGGCCTTGTGGCTCTCGGTCTTCTTGGGCAGCAGCACGGCCTGGATGTTGGGGCAGGACTCCTCCCTGGGCGATGGTGACGCCGCCCAGCAGCTTGTTGAGCTCCTCGTCGTTGCGGACAGCCAGCTGGAGGTGTCGGGGGATGATGCGGGTCTTCTTGTTGTCTCGGGCGGACGTTGCCGGCCAGCTCCAGGATCTCAGCCGTCAGATACTCCAGGACGGCGGCCAGATTAGACGGGAGCTCCGGCCCCGACCCGCTCGGCATAGTTTGCCCTTCCGGAGCAGACGGTGAACACGACCGACGGGGAACTGCAGACCGGCCCGGGACGATCGGGTCTTGGCCTTAGCCCGAGCCTTGCCTCCATTGTTTGCCGCGACCAGACATGATTGGAATGACTGACGAATCACACACAGATAGGCCCCAGCAGCCGCTTCCTCTCTTTATACACTCCATGTTCTGACGTCACACGCTGGGATTGGTTGGTTTTGAATTCAGGCCAATAGCGGTCAGACTTGTTTCTACACCAATCTGTACACGAGGAAAGGAAAATGACGTCACTCTCCTTCACCTGACTGAGTTTCCAATAGATGAGTCTCCTTTGCATTAGGCCGCCTATAAAGCAGCACATGAGGGCGACTCAGTGTATAACTTTCCCAGCAGCATCAGCCAAGCAGTGGTGAACCCTGATCATGCCTGAACCAGCCAAGTCTGCGCCGGCGCCCAGAAGGGCTCCAAGAAAGCCGTGACCAAGACTCAGAAGAAGGGACGGCAAGAAGCGGAGGAAGACTAGGAAGGAGAGTTATGCCATCTACGTGTACAAGGTGCTCATGCAGGTCCACCCCTGACACTGGCATCTCGTCCAAGGCCATGAGCAACATGAACTCCTCACCTCGTCAATGACATCTTCGAGCGCATCGCCGGAGCGAAGCTTCCCGTTCGGGCTCAATTACAACAAAAGCGCTATCACCATCACCTCCCGGGAGATCCAGACCGGTCCGCTCCTCCTGCGGGAGAGCTGGCCAAGCACGCAGTCTCCGAGGGCACAAGGCGGTCACAAGTCACACAGCGCCAAGTAATTCCCCGCCGCGGGGCTTGTTCCAAATAGTTGTTGGCCTTCCAAAAAGACAAAAGTTCAATTCCTGTAACAAATCCTGGAAATACGAGGAATAAACCTCTAAAACCCATACAACTGTCATAAGATCTATCATACTTCTCATACCCTTATATACGGATCCCACAATAAGTCTGATGTATTTCTCCTTTAGAGTGTTACGAAGTTCTCATAGGTCATTATATTGTAAACCCTAAAAAGATTTTACCTTAAACCGCCTGATGCATTGTATATCTTCCCGATTACTAAGTCAGTATTTCCATCTATGGAGGGGATCGTATTATCCAAATATGGATTTTAGGGGTCATGGGGGGGGAAGGTTTTTTCCTTATGACATAAAAATAAATCAACCACTAACCACACATATCTATAAAATCCACACCCCCCCACCCCACCCCCCCCCCCCCCCCCCCCCCCCCCCCCCCCCCCCCCCCCCCCCCCCCCCCCAAAAGCTCAGTAACCAGTCTGTAGGGCTAAGTTCCTTTGTCTCCTTTTGTCATAGATTCCCCCCCCCCCCCCCCCCCCACCCCCCCCCCCCCCCCCCCCCCCCCCCCACCCCACCCCCCCCCCCCCCCCCCCCCCCCCCCCCCCCCCCCCCCCCCCCCCCCCCCCCCCCCCCCCCCCCACACAACCCCCATTTACACACATCACCACCCCCCCCCCCCCCCCCCCCCCCCCCCCCCCCCCCCCCCTCCCAAAACACACACACACTTACATCCCCCCCCCCCCCCCCCCCCCCCCCCCCCCCCCCCCCCCCCCCCCCCCCCCCCCCCCCCCCACCCAGTAGGAACCCCCAAAACGACCCCCCCCCCCCCCCCCCCCCCCCCCCCCCCCCCCCCACCCCCCCCCCAAACAGTGCGGCATGCTGCTGGGGGATGGGGAGTCATTGAGCAGTATACAGGGGGATGCTGCTGGCTGGGTGTATACAGGGGGATGCTGGCTGGTGGATGGGGGATCATTGTCAGTTATACGGGCGGCTATGGGGGGGGGACATTGTCAGGATGGGGGAATTGAACACACTTGGTGAGTTTTGTTCTTTTGTCATACATTGCCTGGGAGGCTCTAACTATGGGAATTAATACACCATCATCACCCAACTTAATCGTCAAGAAGACACGACTCAGACCATCCGTGGGCCAATACATTGGCTCTTGTTTTATATCAATGTTTTTGTATTGAGATAGTGAAAAAAAAAATAAATCGTCTTCCCAGATAAACCGGTAAATGGATGCGGTCGGTATCTCCGTATCGGAATTTGGCGTGTTAAGAGGGCGGATTGTCTGTGAGTCAATAGAATTCCGGCGGGAGATTTGATATGAAGCAATTAGAAAGTTGTGCCAATGACAGTTCTAGACGTTTCCTATCAGATAGTAAAAACATCTTTTTTTCTACGTGGAGTGTGAGGAGGAGGTGATGAGATCTGTTCATCAGTTGGGAGGATCGTTGTTCGGTATATATTGAACGAATCTTATATATATATTTATAACTCTTTAACTTTATACTATTTATATATATATATAATAGATATGTATATGGACGGCGTATATAGAGATTTAAATAGATACTAATAAGGGGGCACCTGATCAATTGTGAATGAGTAGGGGTTCTTTGCACATCTATCCGATCTCAATGGGTTAAATGCATTAAAAAAAACAAAAGAGACCATATCTTTTTAGTGAAACAAGGAAAGTATATAATCCTCTAGTTGAGATAGATTATTTATTCATAATGGCACCACAAACTAAATAAAAAAAATTGCTTATCATTGTAATTTATTAGTTAATTCGGGGTCCAAAAGTGTTGTCACAGAGGATGTTCAAGGTTCACCGAAAACGATCAATATAATATATCTATAACTCCTATATATATATCTTAATTAATATAAGATAGGAAAGATATCGTAAATGAGTCGGCGCAATCTAAGTACCTGAATAATATAATAATTAAAGGGGGCACACCTGATCAATTGTGAATGCTGAAGGGGTTCCAGCACATCTACTCATAAATGCATAAAAAAAAACAAGAGACCAATCTTTAAATATTAATTTAAAAATAAAATCCTCTATTGAAACCAAAGACAGATTTTGTGACAAGTCTTTTGATTATAATTTAAAACAAAAATAAAAAAAAATTGCTTCCATCATTGTAATTTATTGTCAATTCGGTGTTCCAGAGTTGTCACAAGGATGCCAACTCCACCAAAATTAAAACAAACAAAAAAAAAATAGTAGCTATCGGTGACGTCCCCACCTGCTCTTCCCAAAGTGTTTACATTGTCTGACCAGCAACTTAACTCCAGACATGTCTTATTGCAAAGATGTAATGGGTGGGTGCGGGACAGGTGGGCGGGCGTAGTTTTCCTTCTTTTTAATTTTGGGCAAGTCGCGATCATCAGGACAACACCGGACGCCGTTGATTGACAATGGATTACACCGAGTGGAAACATTTTTTTGATCATCCTGAGGATTTACCCCCCTTCCTGATCATGCCTCTTTTTTGACTATTCGGCAACTGGATAATTACACAATCATTGCAAATGCTGTACCCAAACAAAATTTGTGTCGCTTTTTTTCCACACAATAGAGCTTTAATTTTGATGGTATTTGAATCACCTGTTGTGCTTTTCTATTTTTTGTGCTATAACAAAAAAAAAACTGGAGATTAAAAAAAAGTACTTTCTAATAAAAAAAATATATAGTAAACATCAAAGTTAGTCATATATTTAGGCCAAAATGTAATTCTGCTTACATGTCTTAGCTGAATATAATCCCAGATTACGTGTATATATCAGATTGTTTTTTGTGAAAGTTATAGCGTTCTACAAAATAAACAAAAAAAGACTGAAAATTTAGAAAGAAACTCAATATTTTCTAATTTCTGTCATAAAAACCATCCAAAAAATTCAAATGTTGTCAAAAGGTTAGTCCAAAATGTATTCTGCTACATATTGTTGGTTAAAAAATCCCAATAAGTGTATATTGATTGCTTTGTGTGAAAGTTATAAGCATCTACAAACTATGGTATAGATAATGAAATTTACACAGCTTTTACTTTGACTTCCATCACATTTATTGAGGTGCTAAAATAACCAGAACAGTACCAACACCCCCAAATGACACCTTTTTGGAAAGTAAACACCCTAAGCTATCTGCTGAGAGGCATATTGAGTCCATGGAAGATTTTTTTTTTTCCACAAGTTTTTGGAAAATGACATTTTTTTTTTGCACAAAGTTGTGATTTAAATTATATATTTCTCACACAAGCCATGGGTATATGTGGAATTACACCCCAAAATACACCCTTCAAATGGGGATATCACATGTGTGAGACTTTTTGGGAGCCTAGCCACATGCAGGAGCCTGAAATCCAATGACCACATTGAAAGCCTGAAGGTGCATAACTTCCTCATTTCACTGACAGAAAATTGTTTGAGGGACTCATCAACGCAGATGTTTTGCTGGGAAGTATAGACATCTGCAAATTTTGGTTAAGGTGATTTAAGAGGTATTTCTGCTATAGGGCAGCACAGAAGCAGTTCAACATGTCCAGTAAAAAATTAAAAATCTAATGTTGTCATAAATTTAGGCCCAAAAATGTATTCTGTGACATGTCTTTGCTAAAAAAAAAAAAGAATCCCAATACACGTAAATTAATTGGTTTACCAATGTCTGCGACAGTCCCATTATAAATCACTGATCACTGCCATTATTAGTAAAAATACAAAAACAAAAAAATTCATAGCGTTTACAAATGGTGATTGATATTGGAATTTTTTTTGTTTTTGTATTTTTACTAATAATGGCAGTGATCAGTGATTTATAATGGGACTGTCGCAGACATTCTGAAACTGTGGAGAAACTGAGCAATTACAGTGATCAGTGCTAAAAAAAAAAAAACACTGACACTGTTTAATTGGCACTGGGCAGGAAGGGGTTGACATTTGGGGGCAATCAAAGGGTTAACTGTGTGCTGGGTGATATTTTTTTGTCTAGGGGGGGGGGGCTGTGCTTCATTGTAAAGTGCACTGCTCTGAATGGTTCTGCTCAGTGTGCCCAAACTGACAGGGCGGAGGGCTGTTGGTAAACAAAGCAGCCCTCCTCCCCATCAATGATCCTCATCAATCACCCACTGGGACCTGGTGATTGACACCCAGGGCCGCGATTGGTGGCGTGGGTAAGGCTTGCGAACGCCACCTACCCGGATATGCAGAATCATTAATATATACTGCTACATGGTGGTGGGCATTAAAAGACTTCTCAAAAACTGTTTTGTTTTGTTTTTTGTTCAATTAAAGACATTTTTAAAAGTCTGGTGTCTGGCTTTACCACTTACTCATCCCGCAAGGGGAGGGAGCTGCATAAGGGTGCCCCTTCATTTAAAGGGATACCCTGTTGCTAATAAGCCTGCCTTTCTGAAAACCCCCACAACAAATGGGCCAGGGTTGTGTGGAAGAGGCCATTGTCCCCCCCCAAAGCCGAGGGCACGTGGCCTGGTAAGGCACAGGGGAGGTTGCTCGATCGCCACCCCTCCCCCCCTCCATTCGTTTTCTTCCCTCCCTGTGCTCGGATCAAGGGTACAGTAGTAAGATAGGAAAGACCCCACATATCCCCCCCCCCAGTTGTTATTTTTACTTTCAGATATAGTATTCTCCCCTCTGTCTGTGGCTGTGTCAAGCAACACACTGCATAAGGCATAAATGTGACACAGAGGAGCTGTGATGCAGATGAGATCTGACATATTCAGAAGGCGTGAGTCTCCCAGGATTCTGGTGACAACCCAAAACTGGGCAAATTCCTTCACTTTCATTCTACCAGACAAAGGGAAACAGGAAAAAAGAGAAGGTGAATCTATCTAATGGGGCACAGGGAGCAGGAAAAACTGTTTACCCTTTCTCCTCTTTCTCCAAAACTGTTTTTGTTTTTTACAATAGTGTGCCGATTGTTCCTATTATTCTATTTATTTTCTTACAAAGAACCGAGTGTGCAGAGGGAAGGGGGGGGGGGGGGGGTCTTGATGGGGTCTTGATCTGTCTGTGAGCTTATGAAAATGTAACACTAGCTGAGGTACATCTTAAAACATCAGGGGAGGGGAGATATTCCAAAGCAATATCCAGGTAAAGCTTTATTTTCTCCAATCAGTTTATTCCTCGCAGTTATTACCTTTTGTCCCACCAGCCCCTCTGTACTAGATTGTAAGCTCCCTGGAGCAGGGCCTCCTAACCCTCTTGTATTGAATTGTATTGTTGCTGTATTGTCTCCATTTATATTTTTACAGCACTGCACAAAGTGTTGGCTCTATATAAAGCCTGAATAATAATAATAATAATCACCATCATCATCAGATAATATTAATAATACTATTCCCTTCTTCTTGGTCTGAGCAAAAGGGGACACCCCGATCCACCACATGGCAGATAATATTAGAATTTCCAGCAAAGGTCTCATTATTGTAATGATCTCTGGGGGAATCGAATGTTGATGGATTGCAACAATTAGAGATGAGCGAAGTATTCAAAAATTTGATTCGACTGATTCGGCGAATTCGTGAAAAAGTATTTGATTCGAGTCAAATATATTCGCTGTGAATTTAACTTAAAAAAGGGTGTTTCTAGGCTTCAGAGAGACTTAATATTAGTGCAGAACACTGTA